AAAGGTGATAACCAACACCTTGAATTGCGTCCGGAGACCAATTGGTAGCCAGTGCAGCTCGCGGAGGACAGGTGTAACATGTAACATATCGCTCGCGCAGCTGCATTCTGGACTAACTGCAGTCTCCGAACGCTTTTCAGGGGTAGAGCGCATTGCAATAATCCAGCCTTGAGGTGACAAGGGCATGAGTAACCGTTTGAAGTGCCTCCTGATGCAAATAGGGCCGCAATTGGTGCACCAGACCAGATTTGAATTAGAAAACCAATTTCTTCTGTTCCAAGTTATCTAGTAATCTTGGGATTAGGGTTTGCTGCACAGTCTATTGTTATCTGCCCTTTCCAAAAGACGGTACAACCATAAGAAGCTATTTGTGCTTCCAGCATCTCTTGTACATCCCATGCTTGCCTGCACTATTTGGGTTGATAAGCAAGGCTATTCCAGGGCAATTCAGAGTGTGAATTGTTCTACCCTGTGCAGCTGCTTGTTGTTATTGTCTAATTTCTCACCTTTATGAAATTCACTGGTTTCCATCAAATAAATTCTGTGCTCCAAAGCCCGGGAATCAAGACTCAGGCATAGTCTTTGTCATTCAGTTACATAGTAAATAACTGATGATTTGGTTTTACACTAAATAGAGGCATTATTAATTGCATAATTGAACTGTGGTCTCTGAGCCTGCTTTGTACCCATGTAAGGATGGAATTACTGTACAAAATATTATTTTACAGTTTAGAAATAAAATGTCGTCCATACAATAATGGAAGAAATTTAATTCCATCGTCATTAGTATTAAATCTTCCTTCCCAGATATCTCCTGCTTCCCACTCCAGTTCACATATGATTGGCGTATGTTCGTCTGAGGCTACTTGATACCTCAATTGTTTGTTATTTCAGCAAGCTATTAACACTGTTATAAAAAGAAGGAACAGTGTAGTAACCGTTAAGAGAAACCAGATTCGGTTCCCTAAAAATAGCTGACCAAATGCATTGATAGACAATAGTCCTAAATTAAAACAAAAACCGGGCATGAAATACAGTTTATATCTGGCATTCAAATTCGCAAGAATCATTAGCACTAGATAATAGAACAAGTGATCCTCAGTCTCTCACTGGTAAAGGAGTATGTGAAGTAGGGCTTTAAACTGGAAAGTTCATGTCGAGGCAGATGATTTTTTAGTCTTGCTATCCTATTCCTTACACAGTTTTTGCAGTCCAAAGAGCAAATACAATATGCATGTCTAAAATCTACGCGGCTGTGAAGAGAAGCTCATCCCAAGCATGAACATAGTAAGGCTTCCTACATTCAGTTATGCCTTAAAATAACTAGCATTACCTCTTCAATCCCTAATATTTCTTGCTTTCAGTCGTACTACAAAATCTATTCTTATCAGGGTGGATAGGTTTTTAATTTATACTCCCCAAGACTAAACCCAGGTCTGCTTGTGATGATATGCGTTGTATCTGTGAAGGCAGTGTTATCCTTTTGGGGATACATTTGAAATGCCTCCACTTTTTAAGTATTTCTTTTATTTTTTGAGGAGATTCTCCAGCCTTAATCAGCAAGTTAAACAAAACCAGATGCAGAATAAATGCACACAATACACAAAGAAACACTTCTCACTGCGAAACTCAGCATCATTACTCAATGTGCATGCAACAAGCAGCAGCCAAATTTTTAGTATGATAAATTTCGCAACTGCCACCATAAAAACACAAATCTGTGAATACATATCTTACCAATATGGAGACCCCACTGCTTTTATTGGTAGTTCATTCTAACCAAGCTGCTTTTTTTAATCGTTCAAATTATTACCTTTTAGAACTCATTGCCACAAGATGCAATGAAATCTTTTAGCAGCATTTTCAATTTATGAAGGTCATTTATCACTCGTAATAAGGATCTATGGGTTAATTGAACTTCTTTGTTTGGGCATTTAAGCCTATTGGGCTGTCGTTACTATATTTTCCTGCTTGACCACTAGCTAGCTAAAGGATGGTGGGAGTTGAAGAGCAATCCATCTGCAGGCTATAAGGTTAGAAAAGGTTATTCTAAATAGACTTTGGCCTGCTCCACCAAGAGCATGAGTTTATTACCTGAGTTATGTTATCTTGGCTCCACTCCAACCTGTATCCTAAGGCATTCTCCCCAAACATTTCTGGAGCTACTGCTTCCCATTCCAAAATCAGACAAGAATCTCTTTGGATAATGTGTACATTTTGTGGAGTACAATTTGGAGCTGCAAGGGAAAGAAAATTGCAATGTATTTGTTGTGCGTTTAAAAGAGTAAGCCTCAAAGTACAGAAAAGCTTTAGGAAATCCTAAAGATATCCTAAATGCTATTAATAATCATTTATTAAATTTGTGGTTAAGTTCTACACAGCCTTCTAAAAGGTTTCCCACCTTTTCAACAAGCTCTAAACACTGAAACATTCATTTTATCCAGATGTGTGTCCAATCACACTTGACCAATAAAGAATTCTATTCTATTCTACTTGGAAGAATATGGAGGCAGATGATTGATTGCTTGAACCACCTGAGTTTTGCACGTTCCTTGTAATCTTTGTTTAATCAGACAGTATATCTGTTCAATTAATCAGGAGATTGCTATTTTTCAAATATTTTCTGATTCAACAACAACAACAACAAAACCCCCACTATATTTTTTAAGATTCTAGCCCTCTAAATCTTACCTAATCCCAAGGTCTGAAAATAGACCCAATCTGAAAAAGGAGAGCTGCCCATCTCATTAGAGCACTGAACTCGAACAGTGTAATTGGTGGCGTGCTTTAAACCTGGCAAAGCCCTTGTAAAGGGAGGGACAGAGAAAACTTCGGTGACCACCTCTTCCTGCAGCTCAGCTACCTGCTGGGATAAAGGGATAAAGGAAAAAACATGAAGAAACAGATTCATGGATTTCACATAAAATGCGTCATGGACGAAAATCATAGGAGGGCTGCATCAAATAAATGATATACTATGCATCATCTTGGCCTTGGGCCATTGAACTGCAGTGATGAATCCTTCAAACAATTGAACCCTGTGAAACTCTAGAATAATCAAAAGATTAGCATAATGATAATAACAAGCATACAAGCACAAAAAATCGAAGATTAGACTAATCTGGCATT